TGAGACACTGTCGGCAGTACTCACATGCCTACTTCTGAGACACTGCGATACTTATATAGAAACGTCTGAGGCACTATAAACAAAACCGCATAAAAGACGAGAATATATTGATGTGTACATCTATATTATTGTAAGAATATACATCATCCTCTGATAAAGGAGTAAGAATTTACCCATGTACAGATGTTGACATTTATAAATTCTAAGCTTTTACCAAATCACTGTTTACACTACTGAATCATAGTTCTCTCTACTGAATCATTGTTCATACGACTAGATAATTCTTTGCACTACTGAATAATTGTTCAAAATACTGAATCATTGTTTACAGTACTGGTTATTTTTCAAACTACATGATTATTGTCTATACTAATAAATCATTAATCTCACTACTGGATCACTGTTCGTACTACTGAACCATTGCTCGCAGTACTGAATCATTGTTCTTAGTACTTGGTCATTGTTCTCACTACTGGATCACTGTTCGTACTACTGAACAATTGTTCGCAGTACTGAATCATTGTTCTTAGTACTTGGTCATTGTTCTCACTACTGGATCACTGTTCGTACTACTGAACCATTGTTTGCAGTACTGAATCATTGTTCTTAGTACTTGGTCATTGTTCTCACTACTGGATCACTGTTCGTACTACTGAACCATTGTTTGCAGTACTGAATCATTGTTCTTAGTACTTGGTCATTGTTCTCACTACTGGATCACTGTTCGTTCTACTGAGCCATTGTTCGCAGTAGTGAATCATTGTTTACAGTACTTGGTCATTGTTCTCACTACTGGATCACTGTTCGTACTACTGAACCATTGTTCGCAGTAGTGAATCATTGTTCTTAGTACTTGGTCATTGTTCTCACTACTGGATCACAGTTCGTACTACTGAACCATTGTTCGCAGTACTGAATCATTGTTCTTAGTACTTGGTCATTGTTCTCACTACTGGATCACTGTTAACACTCCTCAATCATTCTTTACACTACTGGGCCATTGTTTTCACGCCTAGACCAATGTTTGCACTAACGAATCATTGTTCTCACTTCTAGATCATTCATTGTACAAAAGGACTCACTACTGGACCATTGTCCAAACTAATCCGTCAATGATCACACTACTAGGTCATTGTTCTCACTATCGAGTCATTGTTTATCACTACTAGATCATTGTTCTCACTACCGAATCATTGTTCTCACTGCTAGATCACTGTTGTCACTACCGAATCATTGTTCTCAATGCTAGATCATTGTTCTCACTACCGAATCATTGTTCTCACTGCTAGATCATTGTTCTCACTACCGAATCATTGTTCTCATTGCTAGATCATTGTTCTCACTACCGAGTCATTGTTCTCACTGCTAGATCATTGTTCTCACTACCGAATCATTGTTCTCACTGCTAGATCATTGTTCTCACTACCGAGTCATTGTTCTCACAGCTAGATCATTGTTCTCACTACCGAGTCATTGTTCTCACTGTTAGGTCATTGTTCTCACTACCGAATCATTGTTCTCACTGCTAGTTCATTGTTCTCACTACCGAATCATTGTTCTCACTGCTAGATCATTGTTCTCACTACCGATTCATTGTTCTCACTACCGAATCATTGTTCTCACTGCTAGATCATTGTTCTCACTACCGAATCATTGTTCTCACTACCGATTCATTGTTCTCACTGCTAGATCATTGTTCTCACTACCGAATCATTGTTCTCACTACCGAATCATTGTTCTCACTGCTAGATCATTGTTCTCACTACCGAAACGTTGTTCTCATTGCTAGATCATTGTTCTCACTACCGAATCATTGTTCTCACTGGTAGACCATTGTTCTCACTACCGAATCATTGTTCTCATTGCTAGATCATTGTTCTCACTACCGAGTCATTGTTCTCACTGTTAGGTCATTGTTCTCACTACCGAGTCATTGTTCTCACTGCTAGATCATTGTTCACTTTGCTAGATAACTGTTGACACTACTGCATGATTGTACAACCCACTTCATCAGTTTCCCAGTACTGGATCAGTGTACTCATTACAGGATCATTGTACACACTAGTGTTGGGAATTGGTTAAAATCTCATAATTGATGATTGGTTCATTACTACCGATCAATCATCGAAAATAATTGGTTAGCATCATTTATGAAATTTGTTAATGCACATAAAAATAAGGTAAAAAACAAGTAGTTCTTTGGGGTTTTTTGGCAAAATTTCACATCTTTAAAGGATGACTAGTATGTTAGGAACATAAATTTCTTGGAATCTTTAAGAAAAATTTAATCGTGACTTGAAACGAGCTTGTAGTGCTTACGAAATGTAACAGACAAAACCAACCTTGTGAAAAATATTGTTAATGAAAACAAGTGTTCCAGAATTGTTTGTGTTCGATTATGAGAAATTGTGATCGATTGCTTGGTCGTTTAGTCACTACGACCAATCTAGTACACACAACAGTGTTGTACACTTTTCCTGGACAAGGTATCATGGTCAGCGCGAGAGCGTTCTTCTGCTGATCCACGTGTGACCACCCAGCTGACCCCCCTGTAGAGGCTTATTGGTATTTTACCCTCCTCAGGGCGACAATCTTTTCACCTGCATGGCTGATCACGCTCGAAACTTAATGAAAACCAGGTAACATCAAGCTGGTAGATGAGACTAAGTCCTCTGGCCGCAGTTTAGTTCCTGGGTAGAGCCCGCACTCCTTGACGCCGTTATAAACATCCTGGAGGTTACCTGGTACTTTGGAGGAGAGACATTCACCTGCCACCCTCACTGACTACCACTTCCAGTTATACCTATGTAGACCAACCCACCCTTCTGGAGACTCTTGTTCTATTCCTAACATCAATACATCAACACTGCATGTCCTTCAGCAGGACACACATGGACCTATTCCACCGAAGAGCTGATTATCTGTCATGTTTAATTTCAAGTTTTATTATAATGTGTTTATTATGTTTCCACGCTGTCACCAGCAGAACCCGGACAAGGGAGTCCTGGGATATTCATCCCGTGTTATACGTAAATGAAAACCAACTATTAAATGCGATCAGGAACAGTGTAAGGTTTGCTGCCACGGAGGAGCTGATAAACTTCAGACAGACAGACAGACAGACAGAGAGAGAGAGAGAGACACACACACACACCGCCTCCGCCAGAGCAAAAAATAAAATCTTCAATGTGGTCTTCAGTCATTTTCAAGGGGGGGTCAAACCCCTTCCCCACTGGATCCGCCCATGTCGGTACATATCAAAAATAGTGCTTATTCCCAGTTTCGTTATTTGTGTATAAAATATAGTTAGCTACCAACAGTAATTAATTTTAACTTCGTTTCCTTTACTTTACCTAAGTCCTTCATCACTTTCATCACTCTACCCAAGTTGCAGCTACCGTTTCACACCAGCAGACGACACCCACACCCATCACCCCTACCCATGCTGCAGCTACCGTTTCACACGACACCAGCAGATGACACCCACACCCATCACCCCTATCCAAGTTACAGCTACCGTTTCACACGACACCAGCAGACGACACCCACACCCATCCCCCCTACCCAAGATGCAGCTACCGTTTCACACGACACCAGCAGATGACACCCACACCCATCCCCCCTACCCAAGTTGCAGCTACCGTTTCACACGACACCAGCAGACGACACCCACACCCATCCCCCCTACCCTAGTTGGAGTTACCGTTTCACACGACACCAGCAGATGACACCCACACCCATCCCCCTACCCAAGTTGCAGCTACCGTTTCACACCAGCAGACGACACCCACACCCATCCCCCTACCCATGTTGCAGCTACCGTTTCACACGACACCAGCAGACGACACCCACACCCATCCCCCCTACCCAAGTTGCAGCTACCGTTTCACACGACACCAGCAGACGACACCCACACCCATCCCCCCTACCCAAGTTGCAGCTACCGTTTCACACGACACCAGCAGACGACACCCACACCCACCCACCTACCCAAGTTGCAGCTACCGTTTCACTCCAGCAGACGACACCCACACCCATTCCCGCCATATCTACATTCATCCAGCTACCGTCATCCCCCATCCTTACCCTCACCCAACCGCTCCTATTCCATCCCATTTTCACCCTCACCCCACTATACCTTCAACCACGGGCCCCCGCCCATTCCTTTATCAACGCCACTCTCACCCCGCCACCTTCACTCATACCCCTAGCTTCACCTTCATCCCTCCATCTCCACCCTCACCCTAACACCACCATCTGTATCTTCCTCCCGCCACCCTCACCCAGACCACGTGACAGTAGTTGAGGCCTCCCACTCTGAGGTATCAGGGTGATCATGTTAACTTGTGACACAAAGATACAGTCAGTCAATGCAATCCGCCCATGAAAAGCTCTTGGTATTGATACTAAGCTCTTGCCTGTGTCCTCACAACACATCTCATTGCCCTTGATTGACATTTCAATAAAAGATTAACCTCATCGAAAGGGCTGCTCACTGTATGAAATTTGGATTTAGCAAGAGGAAAGAATGGCCTGAGCAGCAGAGCCCAGAGCCTGAGGCCATGCAGCAGATTGGCCCGTAACGGTTCACAATCACTCTCCACAACGAGCAACTCCTAACGTAAGCACAGGGCTCAATGAAAATGCAATTATTTTGTACAAAGAAAGCGCATCTAACTGGTGTGGAAGAGTCCCATCGTTGATCTGGGCTGCGCTACTGGGTACCACGTCTCATTGTCTCCAATCAGATTTCTCCTCAACACAAACCAAAAGTCGTCAGAATAACATTCTCCTTCATCGGTGAAACTGACGGAACTGCTGCCGATTGACTCGTGCGTAATATGTATGCCTCAGTATGTATGTGATGAGAGGTGGATCTGTTTGATAATAGCTGGATCTGTAATGTGTGAGGTGGTTCTCTGTGGTGTGAGGTGGATCTCTGTGGTGGGAGGTGGATCTCTGTGGTGGGAGGTGGATCTGTTTGATAATAGTTGGATCTGTCATGTGTGAGGTGGTTCTCTGTGATGGGAGGTGGTTCTCTGTGATTCTCTGTGATGGGAGGTGGTTCTCTTGTGATTCTCTGTGATAGGAGGTGGTTCTCTGTGATTCTCTGTGATAGGAGGTGGTTCTCTGTGATTCTCTGTGATAGGAGGTGAGGTGATTCTCTGTGATAGGAGGTGGTTCTCTGTGGTGGGAGGTGGTTCTCTGAGGTTGGAGGTGGTTCTCTGTGATTCTCTGTGATAGGAGGTGGTTCTCTGGGATGGGAGGTGGTTCTCTGTGGTGGGAGGTGGTTCTCTGTGATTCTTTGTGATAGGAGGTGGTTCTCTGTGATGGGAGGTGGTTCTCTGTGATGGGAGGTGGTTCTCTGTGATGGGAGGTGGTTCTCTGTGATGGGAGGTGGTTCTCTGTGGTGGGAGGTGGTTCTCTGTGATGGGAGGTGGTTCTCTGGGATGGGAGGTGGTTCTCTGGGATGGGAGGTGGTTCTCTGTGGTGGGAGGTGGTTCTCTGTGATTCTTTGTGATAGGAGGTGGTTCTCTGTGATGGGAGGTGGTTCTCTGTGATGGGAGGTGGTTCTCTGTAGTGGGAAGTGAGTCTGTTTAATAGGGCATGAAATCTTAGTGACAGTATGTGAATGTGTGCGGTGGGAGGTAGATGTGTCTGGTCGGAGGTGGATGTGTGTGACGGGAACTGTATATGTCTGGTGGTAGGTGAATGTGTGTGATAGCTAGTGGTGGGAAGTTGATCTGTGTGGTCGGAGATAGATAGTGTGTGATGGTAGGTGGATCTGTTGGATGAGAGGTGGATCTGTAGGATGAGAGGTGGATCTGTGTGGTGGTGGAGGTGGATCTGTAGGATGAGAGGTGGATCTGTGTGTGGTGGTAGGTGGATCTGTAGGATGAGAGGTGGATATGTGTGTGATGGTAGGTGGATCTGTTGGGATGAGACGTGGATCTGTAGGATGAGAGGTGGATATGTGTGTGATGGTAGGTAGATCTGTAGGATGAGAGGTGGATCTGTGTGTGATGGTAGGTGGATCTGTTGGATGAGACGTGGATATGTAGGATGAGACGTGGATCTGTATGATGAGAGGTGGATCTGTAGGATGAGAGATGGATCTGTAGGATGAGAGGTGGATCTGTAGGATGAGAGGTGGATCTGTGGGATGAGAGGTGGATGTATGTGTGGTGGTAGGTGGATCTGTGGGATGAGAGGTTGATGTATGTGTGGTGGTAGGTGGATCTGTATGATGAGAGGTGGATCTGTAGGATGAGAGATGGATCTGTAGGATGAGAGGTGGATCTGTAGGATGAGAGGTGGATATGTGTGTGGTGGTAGGTGGATCTGTAGGATGAGAGATTGATCTGTATGATGAGAGGTGGATCTGTAGGATGAGAGGTGGATCTATGTGTGGTGGTAGGTGGATCTGTAGGATGAGAGGTGGATGTATGTGTGGTGGTAGGTGGATCTGTGGGATGAGAGGTGGATGTATGTGTGGTGGTAGGTGGATCTGTAGGATGAGAGGTGGATGTATGTGTGGTGGTAGGTGGATCTGTGGGATGAGAGGTGGATGCATGTGTGCTGGTAGGTGGATCTGCGGGATGAGAGGTGGATGTATGTGTGGTGGTAGGTGGATCTGTGGGATGAGAGGTGGATCTATGTGTGGTGGTAGGTGGATCTGTGGGATGAGAGGTGGATGCATGTGTGGTGGTAGGTTGATCTGTGGGATGAGAGGTGGATGTATGTGTGGTGGCAGGTGGATCTGCAGGATGAGACGTGGATATGTGTGTGATGGTAGGTGGATCTGTAGGATGAGAGGTGGATCTGTAGGATGAGAGGTGGATCTGTAGGATGAGCGGTAGATCTATGTGTGATGGTAGGTGGATCTGTAGGATGAGAGATGGATCTGTAGGATGAGAGGTAAATCTATGTGTGATGGTAGGTGGATCTGTAGGATGAGAGATGGATCTGTGGGATGAGAGGTGGATGTATGTGTGGTAGTAGGTGGATCTGTGGGATTAGAGGTGGATATGTATGTGGTGAGAGGCGGGGGATGGGAGGTGGATCCGTTTTGGGAGGAGGGTCTGTGTGGTTGGAGGTGGATCTGTGTATGGTGGTAAATCGGCTTCTGGTGTGAAAGTGTGTTTGTGTCTTGTGGGAGATGGACGTATTTGTTTTACCTGTGTTTGGTGTCGTGGACCCGACGTCGGCCGAACGTTTGATGTTAAGTGAGTCGCTTTTCACCCTGGAATAGTACCCTAAGCATTAACAGTTTTAGCAGAATTTCTGCATGTAAGTGTAATAAGTTATAGAATGAGAGATAAGATCATCTCTGTTTAAGTTTGCGTTTATTCTGATAAAATGTAGATTTCAACATTTTTCATACAAATAATATCAGTGACGATCCAGGGGTATCAGTGGGGTGAGGGAGCACACGGATCGAAGTGAATTGTTTGGAGTATCAGTAGGTATGGCAGAACAGGAACTGCAGGCAGAAGGTGAAGGGCTGGGGAGGGAGGAGAAAAGTTGCAGGATGACAGAAGTTACAGGAAGGATAGAAGAACTTGCAGGATCTGTGTGTGGTGGTGGGCGGATCTGTAGGATCCTCAGAGTCAGGCACCTAATCAGTTAGGTGCCTGACTCTGAGGGTGTGGGTTCGAATCCCGGATGGGACTCAACCCAAAAGTACTAGAATCTGTACTTTACTAAGAAAGTGTAATCCCAAATATAACATATGTTACTATCTAAGTGAATTGATTGAATGTCTCCGGATCACCACAGCCGCGATAGGAACTCGAGTTTCATTCTGCCGTACACAACAATCCCCACTTGTTTAATTGTTTCGATATCAATTAAAAAGTTCCCCATTGTTTTCTTGAGCACATTAAAGACTGTATACCACACTGGCGGCCATGCAGACAGTCAGCAAGATGTCATAAATATTTCACACACTGCAGCACACGCTGGGGACGCCTATATTGATCCGCCGACAGTCGCAACACTGGAACGTTGGCAATTTGTATGTGTTTTGATTATGGCAAATTATTTATTAATCACTGCCTTATGCCATGATCCAAATGTTGTTTTTCAACACTTTGTGTTATTTAGGAGCTGTTAACAAAGAGGTCAAGTGATGGTGATAGTCGAGATGGAACACAGCTTTCACGTTGACAGTTACACGGGAAGAAGTGCATCTGTGTGCAACCAGGCTTTGATGAGCAGTTCCCATATATTTGTAATACATAGCTACTTAGACGTGCATACTGGCAGAGACGATAGATATTGTGTTCGTGATGAATGTAGATGTGTTTACTGGTAGAGACGATAGACATTGTGTTAATGGTGAATATAGTTGTGTTTACTGGTAGAGACAATAGATATTGTGTTCGTGATTAATGTAGATGTGTTTACTGGTAGAGACGATATATATTGTGTTCGTGGTGAATGTAGATGTGCTTACTGGTAGAGACGATAGATAATGTGTTAATGGTGAATATAGTTGTGTTTACTGGTAGAGACGATAGATATTGTGTTCGTGATGAATGTAGATGTGTTTACTGGTAGAGACGATATATATTGTGTTCGTGATGAATGTAGCTGTGTTTACAGGTAGAGACGATATATATTGTGTTCGTGGTGAATGTAGATATGTTTACTGGTAGAGACGATAGACATTGTGTTAATGGTGAATATAGTTGTGTTTACTGGTAGAGACAATAGATATTGTGTTCGTGATTAATGTAGATGTGTTTACAGGTAGAGACGATATATATTGTGTTCGTGGTGAATGTAGATATGTTTACTGGTAGAGACGATAGACATTGTGTTAATGGTGAATATAGTTGTGTTTACTGGTAGAGACAATAGATATTGTGTTCGTGATGAATGTAGATGTGTTTACTGGTAGAGACGATAGACATTGTGTTAATGGTGAATATAGTTGTGTTTACTGGTAGAGACGATAGATATTGTGTTCGTGTTAATGTAGATGTGTTTACTGGTAGAGATGATATATGTGGTTTAGATATGTTTACTGGTAGAGACGATAGATAATGTGTTAATGGTGAATATATTGTGTTTATGTAGACAATAGATATTGTGTTTTTGAAGGTAGAGACTGGTAGAGACGATATATATTGTGTTCGTGATTAATGTAGCTGTGTTTACATTTAGAGACGATAGATATTGTGTTTGTGGTGAATGTAGATATGTTTACTGGTAGAGACGATAGACATTGTGTTAATGGTGAATATAGTTGTGTTTACTGGTAGAGACAATAGATATTGTGTTCGTGATTAATGAAGCTTTGTTTACAGGTAGAGACGATAGATATTGTGTTTGTGGTGAATGTAGATATGTTTACTGGTAGAGACAATAGATATTGTGTTCGTGATTAATGAAGCTTTGTTTACAGGTAGAGACGATAGATATTGTGTTTGTGATGAATGTAGATGTGTTTACTGGTAGAGACGATATATATTGTGTTCGTGATTAATGTAGCTGTGTTTACATTTAGAGACGATAGATATTGTGTTTGTGGTGAATGTAGATATGTTTACTGGTAGAGACGATAGATATTGTGTTTGTGGTGAATGTAGATATGTTTACTGGTAGAGACGATAGACATTGTGTTAATGGTGAATATAGTTGTGTTTACTGGTAGAGACAATAGATATTGTGTTCGTGGTTAATGTAGATGTGTTTACTGGTAGAGACTATATATATATTGTGTTCGTGATGAATGTAGATGTGTTTACAGGTAGAGACGATAGATATTGTGTTCGTGATGAATGTAGATATGTTTACAGGTAGAGACGATAGATATTGTGTTGGTGGATGAATGTAGATATGTCTACAGGCAGAGGCGATAGATATTGTGTTGATGGTGAATGTGGATGTGTTTACAGGTAGAGACAATAGATATTGTGTTCGTGATGAATGTAGATGTGTTTACTGGTAGATACGATAGATATTGTGTTAATGGTGAATATAGTTGTGTTTACTGATAGAGACGATAGATATTGTGTTCGTGGTGAATGTAGCTGTGTTTCCAGGTAGAGACAATAGATATTGTGTTGATGATGAATGTAGATGTGTTTACTGGTAGAGACGATAGATATTGTGTTCGTGGTGAATGTAGATGTGTTTACAATTAGAGACGATATATATTGTGTTCGTGATGAATGTAGATGTGTTTACTGGTAGAGACGATAGATATTGTGTTCGTGGTGAATGTAGATGTATTTATTACCTACAAGGGCGAAAATATCGGGGTTCATGTTTTTCATACGATGCCCTAGGGCAAAATATCACTTTGTCATGGTGACGTGACGTCATGAACAATGCTATTACGTCACGTTTCTTCTGTGACGTTGCGTTCTACATGCGGCGACGGCGCGTAGCCAGCCTATGTTTGAAAGTAGATTTGGGTTTATTTTCCTCAATTTGACGACTTCGGTAATAAACAGAATATTATATTCGTGCCCATGTCATACTATGTTTACGACACTCGTGCTTAAATATCGGTAAAACCTGCAGCTTTAGATGTCATTGGTGAAGTGCGCGTGTGCGCGGGTATGCGAGTTCGTGAGGTTGTGCGTATGCGAGTATCCGTGCGTAGTCCTCCGTGTGGTCTGAGAGGGCCTATGAGATCCTGGCACCAAAAAACATGCTTCTTCTATTGGCGTCTCCAAACATTCGCCATTGTTTCCTACTTGAGTCATTTACTTGGCCAGACCAACATGCTGGACGTGCGCTAATGTGCTGGTGTTTCCGACCTGTCGTGTTGTTGGCAGATCAGTCGCGGAGAATAATGTTCAGATTACGTCGACTTCCCTCCTCCTTCCACAAAACGACAGTCGACGTGTCCCCGCCTCGCTCCACGCGTTTGTCAATACACACTAGTCCCGCCCACGCCCTCAGTAGCCACACCCCGTGTTGAGTGATTGGCTCAATGCGTGTCAATACAGTTGTTATTGACACACATGGGCAGGTCGGGGCGAATAACACGCTAAAGCATGATAGATGTCCCACCGCTCGACGCGCATAGTCGAGATAATTTGCAAACAAATCGAAATTGCAGTGATCGGTGCTGAAGAGTATTGATTACCACGGACTGTGACAATTTGCGCCCAGTAAGTAGCGAGAGCGCCGCCCAATAGGACTCGTATCAGCCGCTGCCTCATTATCGCAGCAGAACAAGCACAAGACAGGATAAACTGAACGGCAGTGGTTGGCTGATAGCTGATTAAATCTGATTATCAAAACTAGTGTTTCTGGCTGGAATGAAGTCGTTTTACAACCCAGTCACAGACCGATGACCGCCACCTGGAACCTTCCGTAAGATTTTCACACAACGCTGGAGTTTCGAAGTGAGAGATTTCTGTATTTCTTGAGGAAAAACAATTTGTTGTGTGTTCTTTGAACTGAAGTATTGGCCATCTGCCTCCTTCTCTTTAACCGTGACATTGTACATCTACTGGAGTTTGTAACTGTACCTCAACCATGTCCGACTCTAAGTCAAGTGTCGCCTTCAACCACAGCGACAGCGAGGGCGACGTGGTAGGTGATGACAAATGTGAAAGTCCTTCAACAACAACAGGGGCAGATAACTCTGAGGACAGAGAGTCACCGAGGGGTGGTGTAAAATATTCGCCACCCAACATCAAACCCTCGTTTCTTATATCAGACATTTTGTCAGACAAAGGCCCCCCGAGGTCAGACACAGTGTTCCCATCAGTAGCTCCCCATCTGTACCGACATCGGACCGACCCAGCACCAGAACTACCGCACCCAGACTACTTCGTCAGACAACCGGAGGATGATGACAACGACGACAAACTAAGTGATTGTAAGTATATACCAACAGTTATACACTCGCAGTATAGTGTGACAGTTATGCACGAGTATAGCATAGGCTGATAGTTATACACGTATAGATCCCAACTACGGGATAGCCCATACCATGAACCAGGATTATCAGCAGTAGTAACTCTGATGACCCCAAGAAACAAACAAAACAAAATTATATCAATTCTACAGGACACATGTTTTAATGAGGTGCCCCACTCCTTGACACCTCGCAATCCACTTTCCTTGGAGGCCAAACACGGAATGGTTTCAGTCACACTGTCACACACCCGACATCAGTCGAACCAGGAATACCACGCGTCGTGTTGTCGTGGACTCATCCATATTACTGTGCCGTCACCACCGAATTATTTCACCATGCAAAGGAGACGTACATACTAGAGGGAGCATGTTCGTGCGTGAAAGTCCTTAAAAAGAAGAAAACAAATCCGTAACCACATAATATCGTCTACAAAAAAAACTTAACACATCGGAAAAATAATTTAATACTTCTACTTTATGGTATGAATACATGTCACTTTTACAGGAACCAACTTGTTTATTGTTTATTCAGGGCTACTGCTCCTTGGTGTACTGGGTGAAGGGGAACACCGTTAACAACCAATAAACAATGTGTGGCCAAGAAGCAATGGGTCATGTATTTATGTTCCTCCAACTTCTCAACTTTAGATATTGATCGGCTTTTTAAATCCTAAATTATTAATTGTTGATCAGCTTTGAATGTGTGCTTGTATGTTCAAGGCTGGTCAACCTGTCTTCCTGCAATTACAATGCGCTTCAGTCTCTTAGTATTGTTTTCTTTGAATAATAAATTAAAACCAGATCTATTTTGTGAACAAAGAAATTGTCAACGCAGTGTGTAGAATAGGGTACAAAGACTGCATGCAAAAATATTGTTCGTAATTGCTTTCTGCTTTCATTCCTTTTTAAAAAAATATTATTATGACACCTTAAATTCCTTGTTATATAAAACACGAACAAAAATCTGATAAATGTTGTTTCAATGATAACCATTCGTGCCATTATTCATAGAAAACGACCAACATAGAAATACAAGCAATCTTCCAATCTGAATTAATTTCACAAATATTTATTTTCGACAAGATTCTGAGATACCTTTCATGTGTTATTCACAATTATTCCGGTTCAACAATCTCTTTTATAAATAAATCATCGTAAACCTTGACTGACGTTTGGATACTATTCACATTATTGTGTATTGTGTAGTATCGTACAATTGTATTGAGTAGTATTGTATAATTGTATCTAGTAGTATTGTACAAATTACCTACGATCTTTCCGCTTTGTGTAACAATGTTGGGTGAGACGGCACGGGTGTGTCGGGAACAGAGGCTCGTAGGTTTCGGCATTTGTTCCTTCCATTTGATGCGCGGAAATATATGTTCAAACGAAAATTAAAATAATAAAAAATAAAGATGTAATAAACACACAAAATACTGAGAAAGAGAATTAATTTACGTATGCGTTTTAAGCTAAATTATTCCGCATCTGAAGTTCAACGTTGGGAGGTAATTTTGAACGTATAACAGAAATATAGTTTTAATATTTTCTGTAAACAAGCAGGCAACAAATAAGCGTATCCCCCGGGCGTCACCCGATTGTTTGAACCAGTTTTTTCTGCAGATGATTGTAGCAGTGTTTGGTGTTGTAATTGTACTCTGCAATCCATACAAGTACAATAGATGAGTCTTTTAAAAATCAGAATTGTAAACTGCTGTAAAGTTTCGATTCATTTCTGTTATTAGCGTCCAACCATCGTATGAATGTCGTTGTCTTCCATGTCGGTTTAATGCCGGTTGATACAAGTTGTGTATTATTTAAGCATTAAGTGGATATGGCTTGTGTGAGTATTCATCCATATTCTCAGCGGAGCGCGTGATATAACGGTGTAGTATGCATCTGTGTTCTACAAGCCACTTTTCACACAGAGAAATCGGTAGCGCCGCGCAGTTAACAAAGAACAGTTTTAACATACATTAGACGTAATACCAGTTTCCGATGATGAACGTATAAATTATTTGCACTCCTTAAACCTTAGATAAAACTCTCCATCCACCCGCATCCACGCCATCTATGTTTAATGTGCTTGTCATTGTGCCGAAGCCAGACCGTGGTTTCCGTCAGGGAAATACACTATTTTCGTGATCTCCAAGTACTGCCACACCACTGCAAAACAACGGCTAGTTTCACGCAGCAATATTTGTATACCGGTTAAAATTAATTATTAAAGAATTCCCGTAGAATCCTGCTTTGATCAGCAATGCACTGGTAGTTTGAATCTGCGGGTGTGCAACTCTTTTTCTACTTGACTGCCTCATACCTTGGCATGGTTTATCTGTCAATTAATGAATCTTTCAAAGCGAACCTACCCCCTGTGAGAGACCCTGTTATTTTATATAATTATTTTCAATAATAAAAGATGGAGGGTGCGATAAAATACATATGTGCCAACCGTAATCTCAAAATGTTTGTATTAAGTATAAAATAAATAAATAAATAAATAAATAAATAAATAAATAAATAAATAAATAAATAAATAAATAAATAAATAAATAAATAAATAAATAAATAAATAAATAAAAAGAGGTTCTACAACAAAATATGAACCGTCTATTTTACAGAGAAATTTTCTCTCCCTCCAGAACTGAAGCAAGCACGTCCCTCCCCCACCAAACTTAGAGGTTGTGTCTATGCCCCCGCATGCCAACATACTATTTCCTATCCATTTGTCGACAGATCCTAAGTTGCCAACTCGAGGAAATGATTGGCGATATTCAAGTCAAACGACCCTGTAAGTTGACAAATCGCCGAGCAGTTGTTGAGGAAAGCCAATGCTAACTGATCTATCGCGTGCAGAACCGGCACATATCACACTACCCCACATCGCGCCGGTGTGACTGAGCCCCCGGAACCCGATACGTACCCGTGAGGGTCCCCTCGCACCCAGGGTGGACCAGCTACCCGCGGCCGTCATGGATTCCCTTGTTTTGGGTTTTTTCTGGTTAACGTCAGCTTTATATCGTACAAACCTACACTCGACAGGGTTAGAGCCGTGACCGTGGGTACAGCTATATAGGAGGGGGTGGGGTAGTGTGGGACTTAGCAGGAAAGGGAACAGTTGTAAGGTTCGGAGCAACATGATGAGTTAAATGGTGTACTGGGGACCCGTTGGGGGGTGGGGTGGGATGGGTTTAATGGTGTCCTGGGGACCCGGGGTGGGGTGGGGTGGGATGGGTTTAATGGTGTCCTGGCGACCCGGTGGGGGTGGGGTGGGATGGGTTTAATGGTGTCCTGGCGACCCGGTGGGGGTGGGGTGGGGGTTTAATGGTGTCCTGGCGACCCGGTCGGGGTGGGGTGGGATGGGTTTAATAGTGTCCTGGCGACCCGGTGGGGGTGGGTGGGATGGGTTTAATGGTGTCCTGGCGACCCCAGTGGGGGTGGCGTGGGATGGGTTTAATGGTGTGCTGGCGACCCGGTGGGGGTGGGGTGGGATGGTGTCCTTAATGGTGTCCTGGCGACCCGGTGGGGGTGGGGGGTGGGATGGGTGGGGTTTAGGGGATGGGTGTCCTGGCGACCCGGTTGTTGGATCTCTGTGGATGAAGGGAAGAAGTGGGGTGGGCGGGATGGGGTTCAGGGTTTAAGCTCTAGAAATACCGTTCACGATGTGGGTGGGGAAGGGGAGCAGGGGCGGGTTTACAGGGCTTATCAGCACCATCTGTCCTCGGTCAGTGTGACTGATGACTGTGTTGGTAACCAGTGCTGATTGTGTCTGGTGAAGGACTTTCTAACACGAAGTGCCCCCCTGCACGACACACGTGACCCGTCCACATTCCGCTATGACGCCCTGCACGGGCTTCACAACGTTCCACCTGTAACATTAGATCTCGTCACATATTTTATGGCAGATTTTAGAAAGACTGAATATTGCCAGACCCTACATGAGGGAGACGCCGGACCCTCCCTACCCACGCCCTCCCTACAGCCGCCTCCCTACCCACGCCCTCCCTACAACCGCCTCCCTACCCACGCCGTGGACAACACCCATCAAGGTGTTTATTATTGGTCTTATCGGATCTTATCGAAATAATTCGTTAGCTACAATTTTATGGAGTAACCTAGCCCTAGTCAGGTGAATGGATGGCACGCTCGAGGCACATGGTTATACCCTGTAAGACTCTGGTTCAATCAGAAATCAGAACTTTTCAAATTACTTTGATTAAAAACATGCCATTAAACTCTTGTATAACGTATATATCCTCATAACTTGAAATGGTATTGGTACAACTTTGTCGACACATAGATACAGGTGATGATATTTGTACAACTTTGTCTACATATAGATACAAGTGATGATATTGGTACTAGTATGTCCACATATAGATACAAGTGATGATATTGGTACAACTTTGTCGACACATAGATACAGGTGATGATATTTGTACAACTTTGTCTACATATAGATACAAGTGATGATATTTGTACAACTTTGTCTACATGTAGATACAAGTGATGATATTTGTACAACTTTGTCCACATGTAGATACAAGTGATGATGTTTGTACAACTTTGTCCACACATAGATACAAGTGATGATATTTGTACAACTTTGTCCACATGTAGATACAAGTGATGATGTTTGTACAACTTTGTCCACAAAAATAACAAGTGATGATATTGGTTATACCCTGTAAGACTTTGGTTCCATGAGAAATCAGAACGTTTCAAATGACTTTGATTAAAAACATGCCATTAAACCTCTTGTATAACGTATATATCCTCATAACTTGAATGGTATTGGTACAACTTTGTCGACACATAGATACAATTGATGATATCGGTACTAGTATGTCCACATATAGATACAAGTGATGATATTGGTACAACTTTGTCTACATATAGATACAAGTGATGATATTGGTACCAGTTTATCCACACATAGATACAAGTGATGATATTGGT